TGCATGGGTTTTGGCCTTAGTTGAGGGTGTGCAGGAAGCAACCAACTGACGTATCTCTCTCTAAAAAGTCAATAAAAATATTTTAAAAATTTAAATGTGGAAAAGGCTACGATACAAACCCATGTGAGTAGCTGTGGTCACACTTGGAAGGGGCACTCTTCAGGTTATAGTGGTAAAGCTATTAGAGAGCCAGGTAGGAAAGGGTGACGGGCCCTCTATCTTTGTCTAAATATTTAACCATACAATAAATTAAGCCTTGATCTGTAGTCTCAGCGTATTTCCCTGGTGTTTATGCTCACAATGTGGTCAATTTAAAACTGCCAACATGGCCCTAGCCGGTTTGACTCAGCAGTTAGAATGTTGGCCTGTGGACCAGAGAGTCGCAGGTTCAATTCCAGTCAAGGGTACATACCTCAGTTGAGGTTTGGTGCCCGGCCCTGGTCAGGTTGTACTAGAAGCAACCAGTCGATGTCTGTCTGTCTGTCTGTCTGTCTCTCCCTCCCTCCCTCCCTCCTTCCTTCCCACTCTATCTGAAGATAAATGGAAAAAAAAAATCCTCAGTGAAGATTAGAAAAACAAAACAAAAAAACTGCCAACATGATGTCACTGAACACAGGAGTTGGAAAGACTTGCCTGTAGTGCGCCAATATATCATTTCCACGACTAATTCAATAGCCACAAATTACCTCAAGAACATAGAAAATAATAACATGTAATGAAATGATTAGAAGCAAGGTTTTATATTTGTTTTGTGTTTTTTTTTGCGTGGGAGGGAAGGAAAGATAGAAGGACCGAAGGGAGGAGGAAGGGAGGGAGGGAGGGAGGGAGGGAGGGAGGGAGGGAGGGAGGGAGGAAGGAAGGAAAGAAGGAATGGGGGAAGGAAGGGGGCAAGGGGGGAAGGAAGGAAAAGGAAGGAAGGAAAAGGAAGGAAGGAAGGAAGGAAGGAAGGGAGGGAAGGAGGGAAGGGAGGAGGGAAGGGAGGAGGGAAGGGAGGAGGAAGGAAGCTATATTTGTTTTTAAAACACTTTGAAGGATCATTGACTACATGGTTTCATGCATGAACCTTTGTTTCAAAATGTAAGCTTGCATCTGTCAGGTGGGACTGGTGTCCTTACAAAAGATTAAAACACAGACACATACAGAGAAATGCCCATGTGAGGACACAGAAGACAGTCATTTGCCAGCCATGGAGAAAGGCCTCATTAGAAACCAATCCAGCTGACATCTTGACCAGACTTTGATTCTCCAAATATTGGAGAAACAAATTTATGTTGTTTTAAGCTTCTAGTGTGAAGTACTTTGTTATGGTGGCTCAACCAGACTAATATTGAAACCACAGTCATACAGAAATGAGAGAATTTACTGGTTAAAAAGGCACCTATGAAGGGCGATCTTGGGGGGAGCCAGGATGGGAATGAAGGTGTATGCAGTGGGCCAGGCTTTCCAGAACACACTGCTATGGGCTTGAAATTAATTCCTGGATACCCATCCTCCCAGGGATCACTAAAGACTCCCGCTCCAATTCTAGCCCAGGTTCAGTTTCCAACAGTGTAAAGTGGTAATAGTGAGCAGACCTGCCTCAGGGGCTGTTGGACGATGTAAACAACTCAAGAGCCTAGGAAGGGGCTAGTTTTGGGGCCATATTTTGGGGGCCCACAGGGGATTGGGCAGGGCCACTGGGAGATCATTGAGATACTTATACCTGAGAAGCCTTTTCAAGTGGGCAGGTTGGTAAAGTTCTAACTTGTTTCATCCCATATCTGTGATCCCCCAAACTAGGGTGAGTAAATAAGACTACACGGCCTGGGTTACCGAAGCACAATGCCTTTCTGGAAAAGCTGCAGCCATATATCAAGCACCATTTGAACATCTTCAGATGGATTTTCTCCAGCTCCTATTTTACATTGAATCTGGAGGTTTCCAGTCTGAGTAAAAGTGTTTCTTTATTGAAAAGATATAGCCCTCAGTCGCTGAAAAAGTGATTCTGTTTCGAACCTGGGGTGATTCCAATGTTTTACATCAAGTGGTCTATTATGGGGACCATTATAAAATAACTATAAGCTCTTAATTGGGACTCAAAAACTACACCACTTCTTTTATCACCCCCAATCTTCTGGAAAAGTTGAAAGGACTAATGGCATTCTTAAATTAAAATCAGCAAAATTTTCAAAAACCTTTGAGGTCCTTTGGCCAAATGTACTCTGTCAGTACCCTTATGGCCATACAGTCCACTCCCTCAAGGATATGTCAGTTATCCCTTTGGAGAAATGAGTGTACTACCCATGTGTCCAGGGATTTTATCTCCAGACTCTATTTGCAGACATGGCAAAATATTACAAGGGACACACGTACTATACTCAGTCCCTATCACCAACTCATTAAGACCACCTTTTCCTTATTAAAAAAAAAAAAGGCTATCCTTCAAAATAAAGCAAAAAAAACCCCAAAAGGTTGAATTAGTTAACAGAGCTGGAAGTATGAAGATGGATGTGCCAGAGGCGATGGTCCCTGGCATCAGTATCTCACTGCTGAATCTCAAAACAGTGGGGCCTGAAGGAAACCAGCATTTTTCTTCTTTTCCTTTTTAATCCTCACATGAGGATATATTTTCATTTATCTTCAGATAGAGTACGAGGGAGGGAGGAAGGGAGGGAGAGAGAGACAGAGAGAAACATCAATGTGAAAGAAACATCGACTGGCTGCCTCCCTCAGGACCCTGACTAAGGCCGGGGAAGAACCACAACTGAGGTACTACCCTTGACTGGAATCAAACCTGCGACTTATTAGTCCTTGGGCCGATGTTCTAGCCGCTGAGCCAAACTGGCCAGGGTGACCAGCATCTTTTTTAATTAAAAAGTTTTAATTGAAGGTGTCCCCCTTTCTCCCACACTTTGCTCATCTCTGCCCACCCCCACATCCTGGATACGAGTATTTTAAAGAAAGTATACACCTTATGGTGTGTATAAAATTACATCACACAAAATAAAAGCTTATCTATTATAAAGGAAGACAAATTATTGCCATTAGGGTTGAAGAAGGCTGGAAGAGAGATTATTAATGGGGAAGAGGTAAAACCAGGGTGAAGTAAAGGTAGGTTTACCGTTATTCAAATGGAAAATACAATAATAAATAAATGATAATGCAAGAATAAAATATGATTCATGTACTCACAACTGTAAACCTACATTTGTCCCACCCTGTTATGGGTGACATATAATTTCATTTCATGTGTGAAGGTTTCACAGCTTTATCCATTATGTCAGAACTGACCAAATAGTACACATTTAATAGGTGCACTGTGTTGCATGTTGATTACACGTGTACCATAATAAAGTTTTAAAAAGTGGTTGCTGCCAGGCTGGTGGGCTCAGTGGATTGAACATCTCATGGATTGTGAGGTCCCAGTTCAATTCCTGGTCAGGGCACATGTCCGAGTTTCAGGCTCGATCCCCAGCAGTGTGTGTGTGTGGGGGGGGGGGCTGCAGGAGGCGGCAAATCAATGCTTCTCTCTCACATCTGATGGTCCTATCTCTTTTCCTTCTCCCTTCCTCTCTCTCAAAAAAATAAAAAAATATTTTTTAAAATAGTGGTTGCCTAGATAACCTTCTTTTCTTAAAAAATTAGGTTGGTCACTGTATATAAACTCTATCATCTCTCTCCTCATCCTGGGAAATGCAGCCTTGCCCAAGTGGCCACAAATATTGGCAAGTAGTGAAGAAGTGAACAGAACAGCCACCTGAATCAACAAGAATGTTGACGGTGTCACAAAAGACACATCCTGGGAATGTGTCAACCTTTTCTCTACCTTTGTCTTCCTACCTGTAGTACAATGACTTTGACGTGAACACCACAAAGAAGGTATGGAAAACCCCAAAACCATTAGATTATTTTGTCTGCCAAGGAACTCAGCAATAGGAAATATTGTCCTGAGACAGCTCACACAAGTCACATCCCCAGAACATTTGTGGATGAACGTTCAAAAGAGGCACCTTCCACCTAAATTACTGCAGTCTCTTCCACTCACTAATAGTGTTTTTGTCCCAAGTGTGGTTCCACATAACCCTCAGAGTCTTACGACAAAAGACACCAGCCTATGAAATTTTGTACATCATGGCATATAGCTCCTTTGCAGGACCTGGGCAGGAGGTCCCCTAAACATTGTTGGTAAAGTACTGTGAACAGGACAATAAAATTCATTTTTTTCACAGAAGAATGAAAAACTGCCTCCTCTTTAGGGTGACCCCTGATCTCCCAATAACCCTGCAAATTAAAATAGCCATGCAGTCTTACATTCAAGACTTTGCACAGCAAAAAATCAGCCAATATTGGACAAAAAACGACTTCCTAACATATTATTGTCCCTTCCAAAGGACAGAACGTTTGGAATTCCAACAATATCTGTTTATCTCCACATGTCAGATAACAGTTCTGCTTTCAAATTGAACCACAGTGAATAGAACTAGAAAAATTTAAGGTAAAAAAGTAAAAAGACTATTACAAAAAGGTCATAAAGCATAGAAGTGTACAGCAGTTTCAAGACTGGTGAATTAGAAGCTACAAAAATTCATCACAGCATAATATGAGAAGAACAATGTCTACCAAAGTGGTAGTCCATATTAGCTGAGAATGAGTTCTCTGGACCAAACTGCATCAGGTGTATTCCTGTCAGAAAGAAAAAATGAGGATCCCACCAAATTCTCTGTGTATTTATAATCTCCTCAATCAAAAGGCAAACACATAGATTATATTTCTTGAGCAAGATGGAATTGTGTGTGATACATACTTTGCAGGTAAGCCAGGTAGTAGAGGAAAAAGTGCTTAAGTGTGAGAAAGTGGTCACAAAATGTGACATCAAACTGGTAATAGCCATGGGGAGGTCAGAAAGTATAATGTAGCTTGAAAAACCATGTTTATACTTAAAATTAATGAGGTATCTAGTACAGTTCAGGTTGTTAAAATTTTTAATTAATGTAATTGGCTCTCAAAGAAATCTCCTCCAGTGTTGTTATGCTGAGGGAATAAAATTCTCAACACAGTTAAGGGTTTTCTACAGTATGAACTCTCTGGTGTCTAAGGAGGGTAAATGTGCGGGTAAAAGATTTCCCACATTCACTACATTCATATGGCTTTTCGCCAGTGTGAACCCTCTGGTGTTGAATGAGGGCAGAGCTTTGTCTGAAGGACTTTCCACATTCATTACACATATATGGTTTTTCTCCAGTGTGAACTCTCTGATGTTTAATAAGTACACTTTTGTAACTGAAGCCTTTCCCACAATCACTACACTCATATGGCTTTTCTCCAGTGTGAACTCTCTGGTGTTGAATGAGGCCAGAGCATTGGCTGAAGGATTTCCCACAATCACTACACTCATATGGCTTTTCACCAGTATGAATTTTCTGGTGTTTAATGAGGTTAAATTTATAGCTAAAGCATTTCTTACAAATACAGCATTCATAAGGCTTTTCTTCAGTGTGAACTCTCTGATGTTGAACGAGGATATATTTGCAGCTAAAGCATTTCCTACAAACACTGCATTCATACGGATTTTCTCCAGTGTGAATTCTTTGGTGTCTAAGAAGGCTAGATGTGCGGGTAAAAGATTTCCCACACTCACTACACTCTAATGTCTTTTTCCCATTGTGAACTCTCTGGTGATAAATGAGGGCATAGCTTTGTCTGAAGGACTTTCCACATTCACAACACTCATGTGGTTTTTCTCTATTGTGAACTCTCTGGTGTCTAATGAGTACACATTTGTAGCTAAAGCTTTTCCCACAATCACTACACTCATACGGCTTATCTCCAATGTGAACTTTCTGGTGTTGAATGAGGCCAGAGCTTCGGATGAAGGATTTCCCACAATCATTACACTCATACGGCTTTTCTCCAGTGTGAACTTTCTGGTGATAAATGAGGGAAGAGCTTTCTCTAAAAGACTTCCCACATAAATTACACTCATATGGCTTTTCTGCAATGTGTACTCTCTGGTGTTGAATGAGCCCAGAGCGCTGGTTGAAGGATTTCCCACAATCATTACACTCATATGGCTTTTCACCAGTATGAATTTTCTGGTGTTTAATGAGGTTAAATTTGTAGCTAAAGCACTTCTTACAAACACTGCATTCATAAGGCTCTTCTTCAGTGTGAACTCTCTGATGTTGAACGAGGATATATTTGCAGCTGAAGCATTTCCCACAAACACTGCACTCATACTTTTCTTCTGTGTGAACTCTTCTATGTCGAATGAGGCTGGTGTTATGTCTAAAGGCCTTCCCACATTTGCTACACTCATAAAGCCCTTCTCTAGAGTAAACACTCTGATGTTGAACAAGTTTGTGGTTGTGGTAGGAGGCCTTTTCACAATCAATTGATTCATGGTGATATTTTCCACTGTGAAAGGCCAGTGCACTCTCACTGGCACGGTGTGGATCCTTACTGTTAAGAGTGGCTTGGTGCTGTAGAACGCCTGTCACGACTGGAAATTCCTTCCCAACCTGCTGCCAGGTAAAAGGTGCCCCGGATACATAGAAGTGACTCCTGGTTTTAAGTGAGGTCCTGTCTGTACCTCCTATCCAGGGCTTCTTTCCACTGGCATCCCTCTGTTGCTGGTGAGTGAAATAGAAGCCTCTCACACATGCATCACTGAAGAATGCTTTATGTTCAGGGTTTGCTGCTTGGAACTCAGTCAGGTGCAAAATATCTTCCAAGACCAAGAAACACCGTTCACAGGGATGGGTCTTCTGGGTTGCTGGAGCTGTCTTAGAAGCCCTGACCTGTGATGCTCCTTCTATAGACATGCTCTGCTCAGAAGCAGTTTCCTCATCTTCTGTTTTATGCCAACAACCTGAAAGCAGAGGAATGCTAAGGACATGGATGTTTACTTTAGTGGGAGGGGGAAGTCCCATTACAAAAGCGCATCAGGTATAATATGCTGGTTTTATGGGATTGTCTGAAAATAAGAGACTTGGAGCCAGGATGAATAAGGTGCTTGTATACATTACTGGGCCTCTGAAGATCACAATATAGTGGAGACCTTGCCAGAAAAAGGACGAAACGACGGCATGACCAACATAAAAGTGAGGTAGGATCTCCAGCTCATTCTTCTACTGTTACTAAAAAAAACTTGTTAACCTTCACCCAAGGATATTTTTCTTTGATGTTTAGATAGAGGGTGTGTGAGTGCGCACGTGTGTGCGTGGGGAGGCCAATGGATTGTGTCCCACAAGACCCCAACCAAGGCCTAGGATCAAACATGTAACCCAGGTATGTGCCCTTGACTGTGTCAAACCTGTGACCCTTCTACTGATGACATGGGCAAGCTGTAGAAAGGTTGGTCAAGTTTATTCCCAGTAAATTTCAATGAGTAGTTGGCTTTTGAGGATTCCTTAAGGATGTATGCACATATCATAACACATATGCAGGTCAGTGTTGGAGACTATGACAGAGGGAACAGTGCAGTGAACAGGTGATGGACGATCACCACAAAGGTGAAGGTACTCAGGAGTCAAAAAGTCACAGATAAGCCCTGGCTGGTTTGGCGCAGCGGTTAAAGCGTTGGCCTGCGGTTCAGAGAGACCCGGGTTCGGTTCCTGCTAAGGGCATGTACCTCAGTTGCAGTTTGTCCCTGACCCTGGTTGGTCATGCAGGCGGCAACCACTCAATGTGTCCCTTTCATGTCGATGTTTTTTTCTCTCTCTCTCCCTCTCACTCTATTTGAACAAAATATGGAAAAATGTCCTCAGGTGAGGATAAAAAAAAAAGTCACAGATAAAATGACAAGTCAGTAAAGTGTCAAGTATGGGGACGAAAAGGTAAAAATGTGTTGTGGGTACTAGAACCTTCATCAAAACACTACTGGACACAGGGCAGGATTCTGACATGATCTCAACACAGCCTTATGTCATGCCATTTCCCAGCTGCCACTCACCAGGGACAGGCCTCCTCTGAAAATAGCTTGCCATGTCCACCTGGTGAAAAAACCAGGGTTCTCACTGCACTTTCTATTGCAGAATTACTCAGATCCTGAACAATCTGAGTCTTAATGAAAGACAACAGAGGTGAGCAGCCAGCACTGCCCAGACCAGCTCGGCACACAGTGAATTCGGGGGAGACAGCATTATAGACAAAAGGGAGATCTTACAACTACAGTCCATAGTTCATGGAAGTAATGACCATGACCTGGCACAGGCAGTCACAAAAAACCTTTAGCTACAAGAAGGGGACAGAAGTGGAAGCCACAGATCTGGAGACAGTCACCCTGCAAGGAAGAGGGTGAAGAGGTGGGATGCACTACACTGTCTGCCAGACTCCTGACTCCCAGACACTTCCTGGACTTTTATTTTACTTATTATTTTTTAAATCCTCACAGGAGGATATTTTTCCATTTTTATCTTCAGATGTGGGGAGGAGAGAGAGAGAGAGAGAGAGAGAGATTGAGAGAGAGAAATATTGACGTGAGAGAGACACATCAAGTGGTTGCCTCCCAAATGACCCCGACCAGGGCTGGGACGAACCGCAACAGAGGTTTGTGCCCTTGACCAGAATCAAACCCGCCACTCTTTGGTCTGTGGGCCGACACTCTAACTGCTGAGCCAAACCGACCAAGGCTTCCTGGACTTTTAAAGGCAACAGGTGTTAAGGAATGTTCAGTGTCAAGGCATGGCTCAGGGCACTCCGCACAGCTCAGCACTATCAGTCACAGCCCATATGAAAACAAAGTGGGTAAAATTAGCAGAGCCCATGGTCTGTCTGGCTGTGGGACAGACAAAGCTACTTCTGGAGAAAAAAGGGAAGGCAGAACACCACTTCAGGACACAAGAAGAAATGTGAAAGTCTTACCTACAGATGCTACAAGTGCAAAGATTTCCAGCATCACATCGCAGTACAGAAGTCTCTGAGCCTCATCAAGGAGCGCCCATTCCTCCTGGGAGAAGACGATGGCCACATCCTCAAAGTGCATATCCTGTCATAATGGAGAGAGTTCATTCCATGATCAGTTTCTCTCCTAGTATTTTAAGTTCTTCATACTCTCTGTCTTCCATATCCATTTCCTCCCTCTAATCCCCATACTAGAGATGATACCTGGCATTGGTCCCATCTAAGTCACGCCCTCCTTATATTCCTATTGATTCTGTCTTCCCACAACAATAGGCAGATGGGCACACAGATGATACCCAAGCTCTGGGTTTGGCATGTAGGCCACACTGCCTCTTAACATAGTGAGTGTCACAAAGAGGATAAGGAGAGAAGTTGGCCAGAGAGGGTGTGAATGATAAGACACTCATCTTGTCAGGCAATACCCTACGGTCGCCCCCTTTGTCCCTCCAAGACACAAAACACATGGCAGGCATCACCCTTTACCCTTTCGATCCCAATCCCAGTGTTCTGAGGCCATCCTTTTACACTACCCTCTGCACATAATTCTTTGAATCACACATCTCTCACACAGATACATTTCCAGAATCACAACTTTAATGGTAACACAGCCCAGCCCATGTGGCTCTGTAGCCGAGTGTCAACCCATGCACTAAGAGGATGCTGGCTTGCCCTGGCTGGTTTGGCTCAGCGGTTAGAGCGTCGGCCTGTGGTCCAGAGAGACCCGGGTTCGGTTCCCACTAAGGGCATGTGCCTCAGTTGCAATTTGTCCCCGGCCCTGGTTGGGTTGTGTTGGTGGCAGCCATTCGATATGTCCCTCTCATGTCGATGTTTCTCTCTCTCTTTCTCTCTTTCTCGCTCTCCCTTCCACTCTATCTGAACAAAAAATGGAAAAATGTCCTCGGGTGAGGATAAAAAAATAAAAAAGATAACAAAAAAAAAAAAAAAATTATGAGGATGCTGGCTCGATTCCCAGTCAGGGCATTGATGCCCAGGTTGTGGGCCCAATCCCCAGTGTGGGGCATGCATGAGGTGGCCAATCAATGTTCTCTCTCATCGATGTTTCTCTCTCTCTCTCCCTCTCCCTTCCTCTCTAAAATAAATACAGTCAGCCCTCATTTATCATGGTTAATCAGTTCTAGACTCTAATGTGATAAATGAATTTCCACAAAGTAGGATTCTTTATTTATATACAGTTGTTCCCTGCCACTTCGCCCTTTGACCTTTGTGGCTTCACTCTATCATGGTTATTTTTTTTTAAATCCTCACCTGAGGACATTCTCCCATTTTTGTTCAGATAGAGTGGGAGGGAGAGAGAGAGAGAGAGAGAGAGAGAGAGAGAGAGAGAAACATCAATGTGAAAGGGACACATAGAGTGGCTGCCTCCCACAGGCCCCAACCAGGGCCAGGGACAAACTGCAACCAAGGTACGTGCCCTTAGTGGGAAGTGAACTCTGGTCTTTCTGGACCACAGGCAGATGCTCTAACTGCTGAGCCGAACCGGCCAGGGCATTTATTGCGGTTTTTTCAAATAACTTTGACTTTTGCGGCTTCACTCTATCGTGGTTTGTCTCAAGCTGCGATAGAGTGAAGCCACTCACGAAAGTCGAAGCATGAAGTGGTGAGGGACGACTGTAAAGGAAAAAAATCAATAGAAACAGAAACATGCTGTGACAAGGACAATTTTTTCGTGATTGACAGCTTTCCCAAGATTCTAATTTCATAAACCCCCTAAATCTATCCCCTTTACCCTTCTCCCTTCCCCACACTAGTGGAGATTTCCAAGCCTGGGAGGCACTAAGGTGTCCACTATTTCATCAAGGTCCTACTGATCAGTTTATCAGCCCTCAAGAATAGGCAGGTGGGCAGATACGGGCATCAAAGCTCTGGACCTGGCAGGTAGGACCCTAACACCCTGAATTTCAGCCAGCTTCCAGGGGGAATCTGGACCTTGTTTTCTCCAGACACCATCATACATGGGTTCACCTTACATTCACTCTTATGTCAAAGCCAGGGCCCTCGAGCCAGGTAACCTTGAGATGCCTGCATTGCCTCAGGGTCTCCTCCTCAGTGCACACTCTTGCAGTGATGTTCTTTGACAGGACTTCATCTTCCTGTCCTTAACTGTGCTCCTCTCCCTTCTAGTCTGTTCTCCTCTGAGCAGTTTTTTAAAAACTTTAGAACCTTTGCCCTGGCCGGTTTGGCTCAGCGGTTAGAGCGTCGGCCTGCGGTCCTGAGAGACCCGGGTTCAGTTCCTGCTAAGGGCATGTACCTCGGTTGCAGTTTGTCCCCGGCCCTGGTCGGTCGTGCAGGTGGCAGCCACTCGATGTGTTCCTTTCACGTTGACGTTTCTCTCTCTCTCTGTGTTCCTCTCTCTCCCTCCCACTCTACCTGAACAAAAAATGGGAAAATGTCCTCGGGTGAGGATAAAAAAATAAAATAAAATAAATAAATAAATAAAAACTTTAGAACCTTCTTTCAGACACTATCTCTCTTGTTGGGGTCACATGCTAACTTGACAAGTTCAAGGAGGGCGGCCTTGCAAGCTCAAAGACCTAAAGTAACCACAAAAGATGGTATGAAATTAAAACTTTTTAAAATCTTATCTTTATTATTGAATGTATTAAAAATGTCCCCCCTGAAATTAAAACTTTTTAACTAAAGCAGTTCATGACAAGTAATCATGTGCTAGGCTGACATCTTCCCCGACAGAGGTCAATCTTTACCTTATCTGAGCCTGTCTATTGTCTTTTTGTATCTATAATAACTTATCTTTGGAATGTCAAAGTAATTTTCCTTTTCTCGGACCCCTCAAAGGCACTCGGTGGAGACCACAACTCCCCTCATTGTAACTAATTGTTGACTATTAAATATCCTGTACCTGCCCTGGCCGGTTTTGCTCAGTGGTTAGAGCGCTGGCACGAGGAGCTGAGAGTCCCAGGTTCAGTTCCTGCTAAAGACACGTACCTTGGTTGTAGTTTGTCCCCGGCCCCAGTTGGGGTCGTGTGGGTGGCAACCACTCGATGTGTCCCTTTCACGTCGATGTTTCTCTCTCCCACCCCCCAACCCCCAGTCTATCTAAAGATAAATGCAAAAATGTCCTCGGGTGAGGATAAAAAATAAATATCCTGTACACACCAATGTAAAAGATGTATGTGTTTATCATTTTACTTTTCATCCAACCCCAGAGGTTTCCCAGCTTTGCTTTCTTCCACCTTCCTAATCCATCACCAATGGATTTCATGTAACCCACTTGTATCCACTGTTTCTTTCTTTCTTTTATCCTCACCCGAGGACATTTTCCATTTTTTGTTCAGAGTGGGAAGGAGAGAGAAACATCGACGTGAAAGGGACACATCGAGTGGCTGCCACCCACACGACCCAACCAGGGCCGGGGACAAACTGTAACCGAGGTACATGCCCTTAGCGGGAACCGAACCCAGGACTCTTTGGACCGCAGGCCAACGCTCCAACTGCTGAGCCAAACCAGCCAGGGCTCCACTGTTTCTTTTAAGTTATTTATTTTTTGTTAATTCTCACTCCAGAATATATTTTTTTTATTGAATTTTAGAAAGAGTGGAGGGGAGAGGAGGGAGGAGGAAGGGAGGGAAGGAGGAAGGGAGAGAAGGGAGGAAGGGGGACAGAGAGAGAGAGAGAGAGAAAACACATGTATTGGCTGCCTCTGGCATGCTCTGAACGGGGGCGGGCTGGGGATCAAACCTGTAACCCAGGTCAGTGTCCTTGACCAGCAATCTACCCTGAGACTCTTAGGTGCATGAGCCAACTCTCTAACCACTGAGGATACTGGTCAGGGTGTGTCTACCCTCTTGACTGTAATGTGCAAAACTGCCATTCTCTGGAGCATTATCTCAATCACTAGATTTTGCTTTCTGGTCATTGTAGACAGTCAAGCTCAAATAAACTCACAAAAATGCTTCACAGGTTTGAATGCTTCTCACGTTAACCACCTGCAGAAGACACACCCAATCTGTCCAAAAGTGCTCTAGATCTGACTCCTGTCAAACTCTTCTCAGTTCCAGCCCTGGCCAGTTTGGCTCAGCGGTTAGAGCGTCGGCCTGCGGTCCCGAGAGACCAGGATTTGGTTCCCACTAAGGGCATGTACCTCGGTTGCGGTGTGTCCCCGGCCCTGGTTGGGTCTTGCACATGGCAGCCACTCGATGTGTCCCTTTCACGTCGATGTTTCTCTCTCTCCCTCCCACTCTATCTAAACAAGAAAAAGGAAAAATGTCCTCAGGTGAGGATAAAAAAAAAACTCTTCCCAGTTCCGATAAGAGAGAAAGGAAAACTGCAGGTTTCCAAATGAGCACAGCTTTCCCTCTAAGCCTTTGCACATTCTGGTACTTAACCCTGGGAGGACCTTACACATTTCATTCTAATCGTTGCCAAAAACAGGGATCATTTCATATAATCATAGATATGAAATGAAGACTCTGGCCTTGGTTTTTGTACTCCAAAGCCATAGAGCTGGAAGAATGGCACAAGTCTTAGGATTCTATATGTCCAGGACCGTAAGTGTGCGAAACCCTGAAATAAGCTCCACGAACCAGTACCCTGAGCGATTCTGCAGATGCAGGAATCTGTGGAAAGACAAAGGTCTGTTGAGAGCCTGACAACCACCGCCAGGGTCCCCGGGCTCAGGCCGCTCGTGCCCTTGCCCAGCCCTAGAGACAGGTGACTTCGAGATACAGCATTGCCACAGGGCTTCATCCTCAGTGCACACTCTTGCCAGTGACGTTGTCCTTTATAGGACTTCGCCCTGCGTTCCTCTCCCTTCTAGTCTGTTCTTCCTCTGAACAGCTTTGGGCAAATGTTAGAACCCGACCTCAGACAGTGTCCCTCTTATTCACGACCCTCCAATTAGTTTCCATGGCCTCAGCGTCCTGACAATGAATTGATGGACATATCAGGAGTTTCCCAGACAAGAAAAATCTAAAATACCTCATCACCACCAAACCAGTATAATATGAAATGTTGAAGGGTCTTCTTGAAGGAGAACAAAAATGTGAACAATAAAATGGCAATTAATACATATCTATCAACAAGTGAATCTACAAACAAAATGAGCAAGCAGAACAGAAACAGACTCATAGATAAAGATAACTTTTCATTGCTTGCCAGATGGGTGGGGGCTGGAGGGATGGGTGAAAAAGATGAAGGAATTAAGAACAAATTGGTTGTTAGACTGATGACCCTCAAAGGGAAGGGGGTAGGGAGGGCGGAATGAGATAAACCAAAGAACTTCTATGCATATATGCACAACCAGTGGACACTGACAATAGTGTGGGGAAGGCAGGAGGGGGGTGACATTGGGGAGAAGGTCAATAGAAAAAAAAGGGAGAAACATCTGCAATACATTCAACAGTAAAGATGAGTTACATAAACAAATAAATAAGATAAAATTGTTGTTTGTTTGTTTTTAATTGTTTTTTTCTTTATTGATTTAGAGAGAGGAAAGGAGAATGAGAGGCAGACAGAAACATCAATGAAGGAGAACGACTGGCTGCCTCCTGCATGCCCCTCACCGGGGATCTGGCCCACAACCTGGGCATGTGCCCTGACCGGTATCAAACTGGCGACCTCTTGGTGCATGGGTCAATGCTCAACCACTGAGCCATACTGGCCGGCAGGCGATAAAATTGTTTTTATAAAAAGAAAAGAAAACTGCTCAGGCACAACTTCCCTTCACCTTCCCCGCGTCCTTTAGACAGAAAACGGCCTGGGTTTCTGGAGTCCTTCCTGCTCAGCCCCCCCGGCCATGTGTTTACATGGCGGCTCCTCAGCCTGTCGCCTCCCCACGTGTCACCCACAAGCGCTCTCGGTCCGCACGCCGGGCCTGGGCTGCAGGACGTGACGGGCGCCCGTACCCGGGGCCGCAGGGCTCTGGGTGGGGAGCCAGGGAAGCGGGGAGGCCGGGGGACGCGCTCTCACCTCAGCCGGGCGCCTCAGCACGGCTGCCGCCATCGGACTCTGCGAGGAACGAGTTTCAAATGGGCCAGTTGCGCCTCTGAAGGCCTCAGACCCACCTGTGCACAGCAGGGACCAGTCCTCTGGCGCCTCCTCGATTGAGACGTGGCGCTCTACAGTCTGATTGGGTGAATTCAGCAGAGGCCAAAATGACCACCCCAAGGAGCTGGAAGTCCCGCCCCACCTGTAGGCCGCACAGAAACGCCCCACCCTGGGTTTCCATTGGCGCAAGGTGGCCTCTGGGTAATGTAGTTTCCTCAGGCCCACGGGGAGGTTGCTGGCCCTGCACTGACCTTGGAGGTCAAAGGTGTTGGGGCTGACTTCCGCTCAAAATGGCGGTGTAGGTAAACCAGGTAACTCGCCTCCTCCCACAACCACATCAAAATTATAACTAAAAACAGAACAATCATCATTCAGAACTGCCTGAAACAGAGCTGAATGGAAGTCCTACACCTACAAAATTTAAAAAGCCACATCAAGACTGCAAAGACGTGCAATTGCAAGTGGATGGATGTAACTTGTGATGTAATTTACAACTTAAGGAAGACCTAGTAGATTTTTTTTCTTGAATTATGAGAGATGAAATTGCAGCGACAGTTTTCTTTGTCACAAGATTGGTGAGAAAGTATGATAAACTGAGTACACAAATAGAAAACTTTGCAGGAAAGCTGATGACGATCTTGTTTAAAACATGCAGAAGCCACTGGCATTCTGACTGCCCTTCTAAAGGCCAAGCCTTCAGGTGTATCAGGATAAACAATCAGAATAAAGATCCAATTCTACAGAGGGCTTGTGCTGAAAGTAATGTGGATTTTTCTCACCTGGGTCTTCCAAAGGAGATGACCACATGGGTAGATCCCTTTGAAGTTTTCTGCAGGTATGGTGAGTAAAATCGTCCATTTACAGTTGCTTCTTTCAAGGACAGACGGGAGACATGGGAGCTTTCCCCACCAATCCACGATGCTGTCTGCAGAGCCTCACTAGACTACTCTTCCGGCACTGCCTCCGATGAAGAAAGTTGTAACAGAGAACCTCAGATAATTCCTAAAGGCAGCAATCCAAAGAGTATTTATCAGGCAAAGTGTGTTCCAGTTCTTCAGTATACGTTTATTCCTGTTCTAATTTTAAAAAGAATAGACTGAACATAAGAGCAAAGAAATAACTGGAAAACATGGAAAAAAACAGAACGACAAAGATTAAAACCACAGTATTGAAAAAAAAGAAAATGGTGTTGGGGCTGCCTTGTATGGGGGGCTCAGTTGGTAAGAGTGTCCTTCCGATATGGTAAGCTTATGGGTTTGATTCCTGTCTGAGTAGGAGAAAAGGCAACAGGAAGAATATCCATGAAACACACCACTTGGAGGTGGGGTGGGTGGTGGGAAGAGATAAACTAAAGAACTGATATGCATATATGCATAACCAATGGACACAGACAACAGAGCTGTGAAGGGGGTGGGTGGAAAATGGAGGCACAGCTATAATAATTGCAAGAATAAAGATAAATTGAAAAAGAAAAGAAATTCATCACTTGTTTCCTGATTCATGTGAAGTGAGAAACTAGGACTTATTTTTCAAAAGGACCCTGTGCAGTTGCCTAATGTGTCTATCCTCTGCTTTCAAGTTACAGTACATCCACAATCCAACCATCTTTCATACTCTACAGCCAGGACCCACCCTTTCTCCCCTGGACTGCCGAGGTCAGCTCCAGACTGGCCTTGCCTCATTTGGCCAGTGTCATCTATTTCCAAAGGTGCCACAAGAGGGATCCTATTGAAACCAAGACTTTCGCCCTGGCCATGGTGGCTTGGTTGGGGGTTCTCTGGAGCACTAAAAGGCTGCTGGTTTGATTCCTGGCCAGGACATATGCCCGGGTTGGGGGCACTTAGGGGGCAGCTGATCAATGTTTCCCTCGTGTCCCTGATTCTCCCTTACCCTTCTTCTTTTTCTAAAAATCAATTTATAAACAATCTAAAACACAAAAACAAAGAACATAACACAAGTTTTTCTGTTTCCCTTGTCATTCTGGAACACCCCCCACCCCCCTTCCCAAGACTTTAATGGTCAGAAAAAAGCTTCCCAAACTGCCTTTGGTGAAGAATCTGCCCACCCCCAGGCAGCCCATCCACTCCTTCCCATCTGTCCACGACACACTTTCAGAGGATGCAATAAAAATGGCTTACGAGGCCCCGTCTGGGTAGTACAGTTGGTTAGAGCCTAGTCCTGATATGCCAAGGTTCCAGGATCACTCTCCAGTCAGTGCACGTACAAGAAATCAATCAATGCGCCCTGGCCAGGTAGCTCAGTTGGTTAGAGTAACATCCAGATACAGCAAGGTTGGGGGTTTGAGCTCAGGTCAGGGCACAAACGATAAGCAACTGTCCAAGTAAGAAACATTCAAACTGGTAGAGAATTTCTGTGAGTTTATTTGAGCCAAAATGTCAACAACTGCCCGGAGGGCAAATCTCATGGGATTGAGAAAATGCTACAGAGAATGGCAGTTTTGCATCTTATTCTATATATTTCAATAAAAAGAGAAGACAAAAGGGGGTTAAATTAAATCCATTGGTGATAGATTAGGGAGGTGTTACAAAGCAAAGTGGGGAAACTTCTGAGATTTGATAAAGTACAATGTTTCACTTATTCTTTCCTTTATTGATTTTTAGAGAGAGAAAAATGGAAAGGGAGAGACAGACGGAAAGATCGATGAGAGAGAACATCAACTGGCTGCCTCCTGCATGCCCCGACTAAGGATTTGGCCCACAACCTGGACATGTGCCCTGACCAGGAATCAAACCGGCGACCACTTGGTGCATACCACACTCAACTACTGAGCCACACTGGCCAGGCATACCCTGACATTTCAAAGGTATGTTATCCTAGATAGAAAAAGACAATAGACAAAGCAAAAGAGTTTCCAGGTTCATGAATGAGAACTTGGACAAATTAATCACAGCATGATATGAGAAAAAACAATGTCCCTAAATGAGGTAGCCCTTCTTAGCTAAGGATGGGTCCTCTGAACCAACACTGGGTCAGCTCCATTACACAGAAAGAAAGGAGTGAGGATCTCACCAAGGACTCAGAGTAGACTTGGCCGGTTTCACTCAGTGGTTAGAGCGTCGGCCTATGGACCAGAGTCCTGGGTTCGGTTCCTGCTAAGGGCACATACCTAGGTTGCAGTTTGTCCCCGCCCCAGTTGGGGTCGTGTAGGTGGCAACCAGTCGATGTGTCTCTCTCTCTCTCCCCCCCCTCTCCCTCCTGCTCTATCTGAAGAAAAATGCAACAAAAAAAGAACTTGGAGTATTCATAATTTCCTCAAGCAAAAGGGAAGACAGGTCAGCCTCCCTGAGCACACAGGGGTTGTGACTGAGGCACAGTGAATAGGCGAGCCAGGTGGTAGAGGTCAAATGGCTTTAGCACCAAAAACTGGGAGTGACATCCATCTGGTAATAGCCCTGGACAGGTTAGAAAGTACAGTGCAGCTCCTTAAAGCTTCGCCTGTGCCTGGAACTCAGGAGGAATCTGCAACAGTGTATGTTCAGCTAGAAGAGATTTAGTTTTTGTTTTTTGTATTTTTTCAATCCTCACCGGAGGATATTTTTCCATTTATCCTCAAATAGAAGTGGGAAGAAGAAAGAGAGATCCACTGGTTGCCTCTCCCATGACCCCGACCAGGGCTGGGGACCAAACAACAACCGAGGTATGTGCCTTTGACCGGAATCAAACCAGAGAGACCCTGTGGTCTGCAGGCCGATACTCTAACCATTGAGTCGAATGAGCCAGAGCTTGCTAAAAGGGATTTAAATTCAGGTAAATGGCTCTGAGTGTCCTCCTGCGTTGTTATACTGAGTGAGGAAATAAAACATTCCCAGCACATTTAAGACTTTTCTCCAGTGTGAAAACTCTACTGTCTAAGATTAGATTTGAGTCTAAAAGATTTCCCACATGAACTACACTGATAAGGTCTTTCGCTAGCATGAATCTCTGCTGTTTAGAAATGGTTAAAGAATTTCTTACATTCTCCCTACTCATTTTTTTTTAAATCCTCACCCAAGGATATTTTTCCATATATCTTCAGAGAGAATGGGTGAGAGAGAAACATCGACATGAGAAAAACACATCGACTGATTGCCTCCCGCACGACCCCAACCAGGTCCAGGGATGAACCACAACCGAGGTACATACCCTTGGCCAGAACTGAATCCGAGACTCTGGTCTACAGGCCGACTCTCTAACTGCTGAGCCAAACTGGCCAGAGCCATTCTCCATACTCATAATGCTTTTCACCAGAGTGAATTTTCTGACATCGAATGAGGTTAAAGATTTGCCAAGCTGTGGCTGGGTAGCTCCGTTGGTTAAAGCATTGTTTCAATACACTAAAGTTGTGTTTTAGATCTGCACTCAGGTCACATACAAAACTTAATATAGCCCTGGCCAGTTTGGCTCAGCGGTTGGAGCATCAACCTGTGGACCAGAAAATCCTGGGTTTGGTTCCCCCTAAGTGCACGTACCTTGGTTGCAGTTTGTCCCCGCCCCGATTGGGGTCGTGTGGCTGGCAACCACTCGATGTGTCTCTTTCACGTTGACGTTTCTCTCTCTCTGTTCCTCCCTCCCGCTCTATCTGAAGGTAAAAAAAGAAAAAAATTAACTAATATAGCCTGGCCCATGTGGCTCACTGGTTGAGTAATGACCCATGTACCAAGAGGTTGCCGGTTTGATTCCCAGTCAGAGCACATGCCCAAGTTGTGGGCCCAATCCCCAGTGCGGGGCATGCTGGAGGTGGCCAACTGATGTTCTCTCTCATTGATGTTTCTATCTCTCTCTTCCATCTTTGTTTCCCTCTCTCTCTAAAAAATAAAGGAAAAAAAAATTAGTTAACTAATATATGCATTAATAACCTGAACAAATCGATATTTCTCTTCTCTCCTTCCTTTTTCTAAAATCAATAAAGAAAAAAATTAGTCCAAAGTTTTTCCGACATCCACTTTACTCATAAGTTTTATTTTTTTATATATTTTTTTGGTACGTGCCCCTAGCGAGAACCAAACCCAGGACTCTCTGGTCCACAGGCCGACGCTCCAACAGCTGAGCCAAACCGGCAAGGGCTCATAAAGTTTTTATCCATTGTAAACTCTGTGGTGTTGGAAAAGGCTGGAGCTCTTTGTAAAAATCTTCACACATTCACTATACTGATAGGACTTTCACCAGTGTGACCTCTGTGGTGGTCAATTAGTTTAGAGCTTTGGCTGATAGACTTCCCACAGTCCCTACACTCGTATGGCTTTTCTGCAGTGTGAACTCTCTTGGGTTGAAGGAAGTGAGATTTGCAGTTAAAAGATTTCACAAATACACTACTTTCACAGCTTTTCTCCAGTGTGAACTCTGGTGTTGAGAGAGGGCAGAACACTGGTGGAAGATCTTCCCATAATCACTTCACTCATGGCTCTTCTCCAGTGTGACATCTCTGGTGGTCAGTGAGTCTAGCATTTTGGCTGAAGAACTTCCCACAATCTTGACACTCAAATGGCTTTTACCCCGAGTGAACTTCCCTATGTTGAAGGTGATGGTTTTGTGGAAAGGTTTTCCCATATTTGCTGCACTTATAAGGCTCTTCTCCAGTGTGAACTCTCGTGTTTAACAAGGTAATATTTACGGATAAAAGATTTCCTACATTTACTACATTCATAGGCCTTTCCCCAGTGTGACCTCTGAGGTGTTCAGTGAGATTAGAGCTTTGTCTGAGGGACTTCCCACAATAACTATACTCACAGTTTTTCTTCAATGTGATATCTTTTGTGGTTAAAGAGGTGATCTTTGCACTTAAAACATTTCCCACATTCAATACACTCATAAGGAATTCCAACACTGTGACCTTTGTGATGTTCAATGAGCTTAGCTATGTCTGAAGGACTTTCCACAATCACTACACTTATGTAGCTTTTCTCCAGTGTCAAATCTCTGATGTTGAATGAAGACAGGTTTCTAACTAAAGCATTTGCTACGAACACTGCACTCACATGGCTTTTCTCCAGTGTGAATTCTCTTGTGTTGAATGAAGCTAAAGCACTGGCCGAAGGACTTCTGACAATCACTACACTCATAAGGCCTTTCTCCAGATTGAACTTTCCTGTGTCAAATAACATTAACATTTTGTCTAAAGGCCTTCCCACTTCTGCTGCACACAAAAGACCTCCTCCACAGTAGACACTCTGACCTTGAACAAGTTTCTGGTTGTGGCGGGCAGCCTTTTCACATTCACCCCACTTGTGATTACTTTTCCCACATCAAACGGCCTGCCCACTCTCACTGCCCCAGTGGGAATCTGCACTGTCAGAAGAACACTGGTGTTGGAAATGGCCTAAAATAGCTGGGAAGTTTGCTCCCACCTCCCTACAGGTGCAAGGAGCCTTTGATATGTGGAAGCTGCACCTGGTAACAAACAAGGCCCTGTCCATATCTCCTTTCCGGGGCTTCTCTGCACTGCCACCCTCTGTAGCTGCTGACGGTCTGCACTGAAACAGAAGCCTGTCACACATGCATCACTGAAGAATGCTTTCTTCTCCAGGTATGCTGCTTGGAACTCAGTCACGGGCAAAATAGCTTTCAAGACTGAGAAGCAACGCTCACAAAGATGGGTTTTCTTGCTTGCCGGAGCTGTTTTAGAAGCCCTGACCTGTGACTCTCCTTCTACAGATACACTCAGCTCAGAAAGGGCTTCCTCATCTTCCAATTTATGGGAACAATTTGAAAGCAGAGAAATGATGAAGACACTGATGTTGACTGTAGTGGGAGGAGCAAGTCCCATTACAAACGTGTGTCAAACATAACATGCTGGTTTCATGGGATTGTCTGAAATAAGAGACCTTGGGGCAGGTCCTCTGTGTACTAATGGGCCTCTGAAGATCACAAAATACTGGACATCACCAGAAAAAGGACACAAAGATGGCATGCACCACATGGAACAGAAGGGAGATATGCAACTTATGCTTCTGCTAACAGCATTCGGCAGGGCTGTTCTGCTGGTGACATGGGTATCTGTACAGAGGTTGGTTATATCCGGTTGTCAGTAAAATTCAATAAATGAGTAGCTGGTGTTCAAAGACTATTTAAGGATGTATGCACACATCACAACGCATTCACAGGTATTGTTGCAGAATACTGCAAAGGGAGCAGTGCAGAAAAGTAGGTGATGCATGGAAACCACAAAGGTGAAGGTAGGCAGGAATCGAGAATTCATAGATAAAATGACAAGTAGGCAAACGATTATGAAAATGAAGAGGTAGAAATACGGTGCGGCCAGCAGAACTTGCTCTAAAACACGACTGGACGCAGAGCAGGTACCTGGTATGATCTGAATACAGCCTTTATGTGATGCCCTCTTCCAGCTACCACTCACCATGGGCAGGCCTCCTCTGAGACCATGTTGTCATGTCCAACCTGCGAAAAAACCAGGGTTCTTCCTGCACCTTCTATTCTAATAGTTGCACCTTTTACAACTACTCAGAACCTGAATGATTCAAATCTTACTGACAGAAAACAGAGGTGGGCAGCCAGCCCTGGCCCAGAGAAAAACAGCATACACTAGTATTGAGGGGGAAAAATATTACAAACAACAACTGAAGGTGGGTCTTATAAGAAAAGCTCATGGTTCATGTAACTATGACCATAACTCGGCACAGCCAGTACCAAAGAATTGTTGGCTAAAGGAAGGGGGCAGCCCTGGCCAGTTTGGCTCAGCGGTTAGAGCATCAGCCCATGGACCACAGAATCCCAGGTTCAGTTCCTGCTAAGGGCATGTACCTTGGTTGCAGTTTGTCCCTGGCCCCGGTTGGGGTCATGTGGGTGGCAACCAGTTGATGTGTCTCTCTCACATTGATGTTTCTCTCTCTTCCCCCCTCTCTCCCTCCCACTCTATCTGAAGATAAATGCAAAAATGTCCTTAGGTGAGGATAAAAAACAAATTAAATTAAAAAAATAAATAAAGGAAGGGGGCAGAACTGGAAGCCATGGTCTGAAAATATTCACCCTACTAGGGAGAGAGGAAGCAAGGTGGGATCCATTAACCTGTCTGTGAGACTGCTGACTCCCACATACTTCCCAGCACTGTTTCAAGCAATAGGAGTTAGGGCTGCTTCAAAGAGTCATTGCTCAGGGCACCCCACATAGCCCAGCACTGACAGCCACCACACATATGACAGGAAAGTGGGAAATTAGCAGAACCCATGGTCTGACTGTGGGAAAGACAAAGCTCCCTTTGGAGAAAATAGGGAGGCAGGATATCAGCTCAGGGAGGGATGGGAAGGTCTTACCCACAGGTGCAAAAAGTGCAAAGATTTCCAACATCACATCGCAGTACAGAAGTCTCTGAGCCTCATCAAGGAGCCCCCATTCCTCCTGGGAGAAAACAATGGCCACATCCTCAAAGTTCATACCCTGTCATAACAGGGACAGTTCATTCCATCATCAGTTTTTCTCCTGGGATTCCAAGTTTCTCATAGCCTCCACTCTCCCCATCCATCTGCTCCATCTACTCCCCACCGTCAAAGAAGATTACAGGCCTTGGTGCCATTGAAGTTACTCTCTCCTTATACTTTTTTTTTTTTTGGTGGTACGTTCCCCTAGCGGGAACCGAACCTGGGACTCTCTGGTCCATAGGCCGACGCTCAACTGCTGAGCCAAACTGGCCAGGGCTCTCCTTATACTTTTATTAATACTCTGTCTTTCATAAAAAACAATATGCAGCCCTGGCCGGTTTGGCTCAGCGGTTGGAGCGTCGGCCTGCGGTACAGAGAGACCCGGGTTCGGTTCCCGCTAAGGGCATGTACCTCGGTTGCAGTCTGTCCCCGGCCCTGGTTGGTCGTGCGGGTGGCAGCCACTCGATGTGTCCCTTCACATCGATGTTTCTCTCTCTCTCTCTTCCTCTCTCTCCCTCCCGCTCTATCTGAACAAAAAATGGAAAAATGTCCTCTGGTGAGGATAAAAAACAACAACAAAAAAAACCAATATGCAGATGGTAACTATTACATGAGCTCTGAGCCTGGAATGTGGGCCAAATTGCATACAGTCAATATGGCAAGTGTCAAAAACATTGGTTAGGGAGAGAAATTTGTTTTATTTTATTTTATTTTTATTTTCACCCAAGGGCATGTTTGCATTCATCTTCACACAGAGCGAGAGGGAGACAGGGAGGAAGAGAGTAAGAGAAACATCAATGTGAGAGAGACACATGGACTGACTGCCACCCACATGACCCCAACCGGGGCCGGGGACAAACTGCAACCGAGGTACGTGCCCTTAGCGGGAACCGAACCCGGGTCTCTCTGAACCGCAGGCCAACTCTTTAACCCCTGAGCCAAACCAGCCAGGGTGAGAAATCTGTTTTAAAGAGTGATTTGACACTGAGCTTCTTAGGAAATAACCCTGTGGACCCCAGATTATCTCTCAAGACAGGAAAACATGGCAACACCCTTCACTCATATGACCCGAATCCCAGGACCCTGAGGACACGCGTTTACACTACCCTCTCCACATAATTCTTTTTTTTAATTTTTTTTATCCTCACCCGAGGATATTTTTCCATTTTTTGTACAGACAGAGTGGGAGGGAGAGAGAGGAAGAGAGAGAGAGAGAAACATTGACGTGAAGGGTCACATCGAGTGGCTGCCACCCGCACGACCAACCAGGGCCGGGGACAAACTGCAATCGAAGTACGTGCCCTTAGCGGGAACCGAACCCGGGTCTCTCCGGACCACAGGCCAACGCTCTAACCGCTGAGCCAAACTGGCCAGGGCTCCACATAATTCTTTGAATCACACACCTCTCACACTGCAACATTCCCAGAGACACAACTTCAAAGGTAACACAGCCCTGATATCACAGGGACAGTTGGTTCCCTGATCAGCTTCTATCCCATGATACTAATTTTACCCCCTCACTAATCTATCCCCTGCTTATCCTTCTCCCAGTATCACTGATGTCCACTACCTCATCGAAGTCCTATTGAGCAGTGTTATCAGCAATAAAAATAGGCAGATGGGCAAATAAATGACATTTATGCTCTGGACCAGGCAGGTAGGACCACAACACCCCCTCTTAAGGCAATTACCAAGGGTTCCTATGTTGTTTCTTCCAGACACCACCAGACATGGGCTCTTCCTTCATCCACTCTTTTTTTTTTATCCTCACCGGAGGATATTTTTTGTTCAGATAGAGTGGGAGGGAGAGAAAGAGAGAGAAACATCACGTGAAAGGGACACATTGAGTGGTTGCCATCCATACAACCCAACCAGGGCCGGGGGCAAACTCCAACAGAGGTACATGCCCTTAGTGGGAACCAAACCCAGTTCTCGCTGGTCCAAGGGCCGATGCTCTAACCGCTGAGCCAAACCAGCCAGGGCTAAACTATTAATTTTTAATGAGAGAGAAAGTAGAGACAGAGAGAGAAACATCAATTAGTTGCCTCCACTACACATACCCAAGTGGGGATCAAACCCACAACCCAGGTTATGCGTCCTGACCAAAATTTGAACACAAAATTTTTTTGGTGTACAGGACAATACAACAACTGAGCCACCTAGCAAGAGCTTATCTATAATCTTTGTGGTGACACAAACCTTCTGCAACCATAGTCCCCAGCAAGTAAACCAGTCGTCTGGCTAAACATCTTTTACATGGACAACTACTTGACCAGGATCCCCTCCCCTCTTAAAGTGATCTACAGCTTCTTCCTGGTGCATATATTCTCCACTACCTTTTAGAGAACTCTCAATCCTGAACTTCTAAGAGCTTCAGACACTCATGACCTGATCTCTGAAACACTTTATACTCTCAACAGGCCAAAGATTAAACTCCTGAGAGGCCCCAAAAATGTTACTCTTACTACTATGGATTTCGTCATCTCAGTTGATGGTACTTCCATACTGCCACCCGCTAAAAGTGAACCTTTAGCCCTGGCCGGTTTGGCTCAGCGGTTAGAGCGTCAGCCTGCGGTCCTGAGAGACCCAGTTCGGTTCCCGCTAAGGGCGCGTACCTCGGTTGCAGTTTGTCCCCGGCCCTGGTCGGTTGTGCGGGTGGCAGCCACTCGATGTGTTCCTTTCACATCGATGTTTCTCTCTCTCTCTCTGTTCCTCTCTCTCCCTCCCACTCTACCTGAACAAAAAATGGAAAAATGTCCTCGGGTGAGGATTAAAAAAAAAAAAAACAATAAAAGTGAACCTTTAAGCTTTCTCTGACTCTTACCTCTCTCTCTCTTTCTCTCAACCTCAAAATTAGAAAATCGCACACATACTGTTCTGCCACAGCACAGGGTGACAAATGAGACCTGGGTCAGATCACCTGCCTCCACTGCTTCAAATCTCCCATTGCTCCCATTACCTGTAGATCATATGCCCAATTTGTCAAAAAGCTGCTTTAGAACTGACTCCTGTCCCACTGTTCCCAGTTCCCATAAGCCAACTCAGCCACCCTTGCAAGCCTTTGCTCAGTCTGGTACCTATACCTGGGAGGACCTTCCACATCTCACTCCACTGGTTGCCAAAAACAGGCACAAATTCTTATACCTCGGGAACTTAGGATTCTGGGTTTGGTATATGTTCAAAGTCCGAGACCCAAAGGCAGGCAGTGTGGCTCAACGGTCCCAGGACACTATGTCAGAGACCATGAGTGTGTGAGTCCCTCAAATGAGTTCCACAAACCAGTACCCTGAGGGATTCTGCAGGTGCAGGAATCTGTGGAAAGACAAAGGTCTGTTGAGAGCCTGGCAACCACCGCCAGGGTCCCAGGACTCGGGCCACTCGGTGCCCTGGCGGGGCCAGGTGACCTCGAGATGCCTGCACTGCCTCAGGGCCTCATCCTCAGCGCACACTCTTGCCAGTGACGTTGTCTTTCACAGGCCCTCACCTCCTGTAATACCTGCGCTCCCCTCCCTTTAGCCTGTCCTTCCCCTGAGCAGCTTTGGGAAAACGTCAGAACCCGGCCTCAGACAGTGTCCCTCTCTTGTTCAGCCGCCTGTCCCTCTAACACATGTCACAGCTTGTGTCACCCACGAGCGCCTCACTGTGCAAAACGCCTGAGAGGCAGGAGGTGACGGCGCGCGCACCGGGCTGCAGGGTTGGGCCGGGGGGGCGGGGAGGGCCCGGGGTCGCGCTCTCACCTCAGCGCGGCCGCCGCCACCGGGCTCTGCGGGGGGAGGGGCGGTCTGCGAGGTGCGGAGGTTCCAGTCGAGCCCGTTGAGACTCACCCACCTCGGACCCGCCTCTGCACAGCGGGGACGACTCTCTAGCGCTCCCTCGTTTGCGACCAGGGGAGCTGCAGCTGGGAGCTCAGACCCGGTGCACCAACGGGAGAGGCCAAAATGACCGCCACAAGGAGCACACCGGAAGTCCCGCCCCGACGCCTGCGCAGTACACAAATGCCATGTTGGGCCTTCACTGGCTAAATCCGCCATCTTAGTGCGCACTTCCCTCTGGGTAATGTAGTTTACTAGCCAAACGTGAGCCGTTAGGGTTGCACTCACCGCCTGGGGAGATTAAAGTCCTTGTACAGCCCTGGTTGGAGCATCGGCCTGCGGTCCGGAGAGACCCGGGTTCGGTTCCCGCTAAAGGCGCGTACCTCGGTTGCAGTTTGTTCCTGGCCCTGGTTGGCTGTGTGGGTGGCAGCCACTCCATGTGTCCCTTTCGCATTGATGTTTCCCTCTCACTTTCTCTTCCTATCTCTCCCTCCCACTCTATCTGTACAGAAAATGGAAAAACATCCTCGGGTGAGGATAAAAAAATAAATAAAATCAAGTCCTTGTACAAGGCAGCCCTGTTCAGTGGATCAGCCCCTGTGAGTGTTCTCCCGGCGCCAGGGAACGTAGAAAAATCAACCAATAAATACATAAACAAGTGGAAGAACACAACCATGTTACTCTCTCTCCCTACTAACCTCTCTCTCTCAAATTAATGAAAATTTTAAAAAATTAAAAAGTCTTGCAGCACCTTGAATCTTTTGGGTAAATTACAATTTTAGGTTTCAGGGGCGGTAGTCAGGTTTCTGGGGACTGTTATCCACAACTGATCATTCACTTGTTTGGAGAAATTATTTCAGACTCTGCAAAGCACAGAATGCTCCCTGAGGCATATTGTTTCAGTTACTCCCAAAGACTACAAATCCAGTGGATATATATTCTCATTCAGTCACAAAATGCATCTACTTTTAGATGGAATGTGTTAACCATATTCTGCCAATTCAAATGCATGAAGTCAAAAGCTTTAGTACATTTTGTAAACCTCCTTATGCTCAGTCAGGGCTATGACTTGGAAGATAAAGAGAAATTTAGGACGCCACCATGTGGGAGAACAGTGATCTCTGCCTGTGGTTCCCACAGATACATCCCTAGTGCCTGTATCCTCAGTGATGGTACACAATCTATAGAATATTGCTTATTCATTTAGTGTTTCCTACCCAAGTTACTAAGGTGTATTCAATTCCTTTAGAAATATGACATACTTCTCAAATGTAGAGCAAATTTGGAAGAGTGACTACAGTATAGTGTTCTCAGGAAGAGCACATGTGCAAAGTGGGCATCCAAAAACCATGATCTTATCTTTCTTGACAGGAAAGGGATTACCATTTCTTCGTGGTGATTACTGGGACCCTTGTGCATGAGGAATTCATATCAGAAAAAAGTTGTGAAATGCAATTTACAGAAAACTATTTATAATGAATTATGTAGTTATTCAGAGACAGTGGTAGAAATAGCTCTGAGGAAACATCAGAGGACGGGAGAAAGAGTTTGAGACCTCAAATAATTTTTACCAAGACACAGTACAGTCTGAGTTATGCTGAGCTCAATCTTGATATTGTGATTCTTTATTTTTTATTTTTATTTTTTGGTACATGCCCCTAGCAGGAACTGAACCTGGGACTCTCTGGTCCACAGGCCGACACTCCAACCGCTGAGCCAACCCGGCCAGGACAATATTGTGATTCCTTTAAATCAGTTCAATTTTAGTGGGTTTGTAGTGCTTTCTCATTGAAGTTTTAACTTATAACTTCAAAATGTGTAATGTGATACAACTCTTCTAGGCCTAAAAAACCATGTGTTGTATAATGAAGTTTCTGCTTAAATATGTTGCTTATATTTGTCTTTTCTGTATTGATTTCTGTAATTTTTATATGCAAGTCTTTCAGTCACTCACAATTACTTCAATTATGTGTTGTAATTTTTAACCATATATATATAAACCTAGTGGTTTTAGAGTTGTCCTGTCTGATAATAAGAAATTCTTCGCCCTGGCCGGTTTTGCTCAGCGGTTAGAGCATCAGCCTGCGGTCCCGAGAGACGCGGGTTCGGTTCCTGCTAAGGGCATGTACCTTGGTTGCAGTTTGTCCCCAGCCCTGGTTGGGGTCTGTGGGTGGCAGCCACTCGATGTGTCCCTTTCACACTGATGTTTTTCTCTCTCTCTCCCTCCTACTCTATCTGAACAAAAAAAATGGGAAAATGTCCTCAGGTAAGGATTAAAAAAAAAAAAAAGAAATTCCTCAATTCTGCAACGTTTTAGTTCATAATTTTCATTAAACTTTACATAATTTGCTATGGAATTTTTCCTTTTTAATTGAACCCTAAGTGATAATGTATTGGATCTGGCATTCATCATAGCAAATAAACCTGAATGGATAAAATTGCAGAATTGGTTCAACCTTGAAGTATTGAACATCTAGCCAATAAAAAATGTGATGCTAGTGACCCCTGGTGCACAATGGGATCATAATTAATCTGTCACCTGGGGCTGATTACTATGAAGTGGCAAATGAAGCACATCTAGACACAAACAAGGTGCTGCAATGAGAATCAAGGCAGCGAGAGTGAAGACAAAAACCGCGATCATTAAAGGTTTGAGTTCACATTATTATTTATAAGGATAAAATGATACATTCAAGTACCAATATGAGAAACAGAAAGTTTCATGATACCCATGTAAGAACCTCTGCTTTCTATAACTACGGGGCTCTGTTGCTGAAAATCAAATCATTAATGTTTTCCTAGATTACAATAAAAGTTCAATGCAGTACCACAATGTTTTTCACGTGAAACAGGGCATTGATTGAGAGTCAGAACCTTGGAAAGGGGGAATCTGGTTGGATGCAGGAGAAAATGACAATCTACACACCTTTTTTACACTTTTTTATTATTTTATTTTTGTTACAGATGTTTCTCCTTTTTTCCCCATTGACACCCTCCTCCCCCCTCCCGACAATCTGCACATCTTAAGTGCCTGAGTCTTATCAAGTGTCATAAGGTGCCTTTTCTGCTAGTATCATCTGCAGCAGTTGCCTGTAAAAGAATGCCAATTTTTCACAAGACTCACCACAACCACCTATAACTAAAACTATCAGGATGCTCCAGGAAAATAATGGACATGTGAGAATTGTGATACTTTGCTCCTATTTGTTACCAGAAAATTGGGGAGCAAAGGTGGGTATGGGTTCTAAAGCTACTTGACCAAAGAGAGTGAAATATATGAATAATTCAAATACAATAACTGGATGATATTCATTGATATGGTGCAACCCTACACATTATGGATTTAGTGTGTTAACTCATGAAGGTGGAGGAGGTAGCCAGGGGTCCTGAGGTGATGTTGAGGTTTTGTTTCTAGATGGTCCCATCACACAGGAGAGGGATCTGGGTGTCTGGCTGGAGTCTACAGTTGCCCTCAGTGAAAGGATGCAGGGAACAAGGTGACCTGATCCACAGTGTGTACACTAAATTATTCTCAGCTCACATACTTCAAGGCGTTGACCAGCAATAGAAATTAAGGCAATATTAATCAGATTAAGCAATCTTCTGCCATCCTACCATTCCTTCCAAAGCAGAAAAAGTTTGAGATCTCAACACAATCTGTTCAACTCCACATGCTGACAGATCACAATTCTGGTTTCAAATCATCCAGCACAGTAAATAGAACCACCAAAATAAAAGGTACAAAAGCAAATGCAACTTCTCAATAGGATCATAAACCACAGCTGTGTACAGCACACAGTTTCCAGTTTGGTGAATAAGAAGCTGCAATAATTTACCACAGCATAATGTGAGAAACACAATGGCCTTGAAAGAGGTGTTCCTTTTTAGGAGAGGTTTGGTCTACTGGACCAACACTGAGTCACGTCCATTATCTAGCTAGGGAGAAATAAATTATCCTGCCAAGAGCTTGGTGTTTTCATAATTTCCTCAAGCAAAAGGGAGAACACAAAGGTCACCTTCCCCATTGTGCTGGGGTTGTGGCAGATGCACACTGTGCAGATAAGGAAGGTGGCAGAAGGAAACGCCTCAGCAACAAAAACTGGCCACAAAAAGTGATATAAATCGGGTGATGTTCCCAGGTAGTTTAAAAAGTGCAATGCAGCTCCTTAAATCCTCACTTGTACCTGAAACTTTTTTGGAATAACCCAGTGTATGTTTCACTAAATAGGGTTAAATTAAAGTAAATGCATCTCAAATTTTCCTTTAGTGTTACTGAGTGAGGAAAAAAACATTGCCAGCACATTTAAGGCTTTTCTCCAGTGTAAAAACTGTATTGAAGGTTAGATTGGAGACTAAAATAATTCCCACATTCACTACACTTGGTAAGGTCTTTCTCCAATGCAAACTCTCTGCAGCTTAATGAGGCTAGAAAAATACCAAAGATTTCCACATTTGCCATACAACTATCGCTTTTCTCCAGAATGAACACTACAGTGTTGAATAAGGTTGGAATGTTATCTAAAGAATGTTCAACAATGACTTCACTGATAAGGCATTTCTCCAGGGTGAATGTTTCTATATCAATACAATGAAAGCCCTGGCCAGTTTAGCTCAGCGGTTAGAGTGTCAGCCCATGGACCAGAGAGACCTGGGTTTGGTTCCCGCTGAGGGCACGTACCTCAGTTGCAGTTTGTTCCCGGACCCGGTTGGGCTCGTGTGGGTGGCAACCACTCGATGTGTCTCTCTCACGTTGATGTTTCTCTCTCTCTTCATCCTCCACTCCCTCCCGCTCTATCTAAAGATAAGTGCCAAAAAAAAAAAAGAATAAAAGATCTGTGGCTGGGTAGTGCAGCTGGTTAAAGCATTGTTTTCAAAACACCAAAGTTGAATTTTCAATTCCCAGTAACGGAAAAAAAAAAAGAATAAAAGATCTGTGGCTGGGTAGTGCAGCTGGTTAAAGCATTGTTTTCAAAACACCAAAGTTGAATTTTCAATTCCCAGTAACGGCTAATAAAAGAATCAACTTTTTTTTTTTTTTTAATTTTTTTTTCCCTCACCCGAGGACATTTTTCCAATTTTTGTACAGATAGAGTGGGAGGGAGAGAGAGGGGAAGAGAGAGAGAGAAACATCAACGTGAAAGGGACACATCGAGTGGCTGCCACCCGCATGACCAACCAGGGCCGGGGACAAACTGCAACCGAAGTACGTGCCCTTAGTGGGAACCGAACCCGGTCTCTCCGGACCGCAGGCCGACGCTCTAACTGCTGAGCCAAACCGGCCAGGGCAAGAATCAACTATTGAATGCACAAACAATTGAACAAATCAATGTTTGTCTTTTCTCCTCTCTCTTTCTAAAATCAATAGTAGAAAAAAAATTGTGCAAATTTTTCTCTCATTCAGTCACTCATAAAGCTTTTACCCAGTGTGAACTTTGCGGTGTTGGGAAAGGCCAGAACTGTGCCTAAAAAACTTCCCACATTCACTACACTCAAAAGTTCTTTCACCAGTGTGCACTCTCTGGTGCAGGGTAAGGGCAGATTTTTGGGTAAAGGACTTCCCACAATCACTACACTCATATGGCTTTTCTCCAGTGTGAACTCTCTCATGTTTAAGAAGGTAATCTTTGCACCTAAAAGACTTCCCACATTCACTGCACTCATAAGGTCTTTCACCAGTGTGAGCTCTGTGGTGTTCAATGAGCCTAGACCTCCGTCTGAAGGACTTTCCACATTCAGTACACTCAAAAGTCCTTTCACCAGTGTGAACTCTCTGGTGTTGAGTGAGGGCAGATGTTTGCTTGAATGACTTACCACAATAACCACATTCATACGGCTTTTCACCAGAGTGAACTCTCTCATGGTTAAGGAGGTGATTCTTGAGCCTAAAAGATTTCCCACATTCACTACACTCATAAGGCCTTTCACCAGTGTGAACTCTGTTGTGTTCAATGAGCTTAGACCTCTGTCTGAAGGACTTTCCACATTCATTACATTCATAAGGTTTTTCACCAGTGTGAACTCTCTGGTGTTGAGTGAGTGTAGATCTTTGCTTGAAGGACTTCCCACAATCCATACACTCATACGGTTTTTCTCCAGTGTGAACTCTCTCATGATTAAGAAGGTGATTATTGCGACTAAAAGATTTCCCACACTCACGACACTCATAAGTCCTTTCAACACTGTGAACTGTCTGGTGTTGAGTGAGGGTAGATCTTTGGTTGAAGAACTTCCCACAATAACTGCACTCATAGGACATTTTTACGGTGTGAACTATCTCGTGGTTAAGCAGAAGATCTTTGTGCCTAAAAGATTTCATACATTTACTACATTCATAAGGCCTTTCACCAGTATGACCTCTGTGGTGTTCAAAGAGCTGAGAGATTTCTCTGAAGGACTTTCCGCAATATGTACACTCATACAGCTTTCCTCTAGTATGAATTCTCTGGTGTCGAATAAGGACAGAGCTTTGGCTGAAGGACTTTCCACATTCACTACACCCATATGGCTTTTCTCCAGTGTGAACTCTCTGATGTTGAATAAGGTTCGAGCTTCGGCTGAAGGACTTCCCACAATCAGTACATTCATACAGCTGTTTGCTAGTGTGAACTCTCTGGTCTTGAATAAGCACAGGTTTGTAATTGAACCATTTGTCAACAACACTCCACTCACATGGCTTGTCTGCAGTGTGAATTCTCTTTTGTTGAATAAAACTAGAGCTTTGACTGAAGGACTTCCCACAATCACTACACTCATATGGCTTTTCTCCAGCATGAACGCTCTCATGTTTAAGGAGGTAATCTTTGCACCTAAAAGATTTCCCACATTCACTACACTCATAAGGCCTTTCACCAGTGTGAGTTCTGTGGTGTTCAATGAGCCTAGACTTCTGTCTGAAGGACTTTTCACATTCAGTACACTCACAAATCTTTTCACCAGTGTGAATTCTCCAGTATCGAGTGAGGGCAGATGTTTGCTTGAATGATTTCCCATAATAACCACACTCATATGGCTTTTCTCTAGTGTGAACTCTCTTGTGATTAAGGAGGTACTCTTTGCACGTAAAAGATCTCCCATATTCACTACACTCATACGGCCTTTCACCAGTGTGAACTCTGTGGTGTTCAATGAGCTTAGACCTTTGTGTGAAGGACTTGTCACATTCATTACACTCATAGGGTTTTTCACCACTGTGAACTCTCTGGTGCTGAGTGAGTGTAGATCTTTGGTTGAAGGACTTCCCACAATCACCACACTCATACAGCTTTTCTCCAGTGTGAACTCTCTCATGATTAAGGAGGTGATTTTTGCAACTAAAAGATTTCCCACATTCACTATACTCATAAGTCCTTTCACCAGTGTGAACTCTTTGGTGTTGAGTGAGGGAAGATCTTTGCTTGAAGGAATTCCCACAATAACTACACTCATAGGATGTTTCTTCAGTGTGAAGTCTCTCATTGTTAAGATGATCTTGGCGCCTAAAAGATTTCTCACATTTACTGCACTGCTCACAAACACTGGTTTTCTGGGCTGCTAGAGCAGTCTTAGAAGGCCTGACCTGTGACTCTCCTTCTACAGATGAACACTGCTCACAAAGGGCTTCCTCATCTTCTGATTTAGGCCAACAACCTGAAAGCAGAGAAATGATGAGGATACAGATGTTGACGTTAGTGAGAAGGGGAAGTCCCATTGCAAATGTGTGTTAGACATAATATGCTGGTTTCATGATATTGTTTGAAAATAAGAGACCTGGAGTCAGGATGAATAAGGTGCTGCTGTGCAGTACCAGGTCTCTAAGGATCACAAAATAGGGGGAACTTCACCAAAAAAAGGATACACTGATGGCATGCACCACATGGAACAGAAGCAAAATATCCACTCATGCTTCTGTTAAAATGTTCAGTAGAGCTTTTCTGGTAACATGGGTATCTGTATAGATGTCGATTATGTCTTTTCCCAGTAAAATTCAAAAAACGAATAGCTGGTGTTCAAACACTACCTGAGGATGCATGCACACATCACAACACATTCACAGGTTGTTACTGGAGAATACCGCAGAGGGAGCAGTGCAGAAAAGTAGGGATGCATGGAAAACATAAGGGTCATGGTAGGCAGGAATTAAGAATTGATAGTAAACTATCTATTATAAAAATGAAAAGACAGAAATGAGGTATGACCAGTGGCACTTGTACCAAAACAATATTGGACGCAGAGCAGGTACCTGGTATGATCTGAACAAAGCCTTTATGTGATGCCGTCACCAACATGGCCAGGCCTCCTCTGAGACCATGTTGCCATGTCCATCCTGTGAAAAAAGCATGGTTCTCCCTGCAACATCTATTCTAGTAGTAGCTAGACCTTCTACAACTACTCTGAAGCTGAATGATATGAGTCTTAGTGAAAGACAACAGAAATGAACAGGCAGCCCTGGCCGGTTTGGCTCAGCGGTTAGAGCATCGGCCTGCAGTCCAGAGAAATGAACAGGCAGCACTGGCCCAGAGCAACTCGGCACACAATAGTATTCAGGGAAGACAATATTACAAACAACAGTTGAGAAAGGATCTTATAATACCAACCCGTTTCATGGAAGAAATGACCATGACATTCCACAGGCAGTCACAAAGAATCTTTAGGAAGGGGAAGGGGGCAGAACTGAAGGCCATGGATCTAGACATAGTGAATCTGCCAAAGAGACAACAAGCAAGGTGGGATCCACTAAGCTGTCTGCAAGACTAATGACTCCCAGACACTTCCAGCACTTTTTTTTTTTTTTTATCCTCACCCGAGGACATTTTTCGATATTTTGTTCAGATAGAGTGAGAGGGGGAGAGAGAGAGAGAGAGAGAAACAGCGACGTGAAAGCGACACATCGAGTGGTTGCCACCCACACGACCCAACCAGGGCTGGGGACAAACTGCAACCAAGGTACGTGCCCTTAGCGGGAACCGAACCCGGGTCTCTCCGGACCGCAGGCCTACGCTCTAACCACTGAGCCAAACCGGCCAGGGCCAGCACTTTTTTTAGGCAATAGGTGTTAGGGCTGCTCAAGAAGTCTATAGCTCAGGGCACACAATATAGCTCAGCACTGGCAGCCACAGGAGACATGACAGGAAAGTGAGAAATTAGGAGAGCTCACGACTGACTGTGGAAAGACAAAGCTCCCTTTGGAGAAAATGGGGAAGGCAGGACATCACCTCAGGACACTAGGAGGGATGTGAAGTTCTTACCGACAGATGCAACAAGTGCAAAGATTTCCAGCATCACATCGCAGTACAGAAGTTTCTGAGTCTCATCAAGGAGCCCCCACTCCTCCCGGGAGAAGACGATGGCAATGTCCTCCAAGTACATATCCTGTCATAACAGAGACAGTTCATTCCATGATCAGTTTCCTCCTAGCATTCCATGTTTGTCAAACCCCTCACCATCCACGTCCATCTGCTGACTCTACTCCACATCTCAGAGAAAATTACAGGCCTTGGTGCCATGGAAGCCATTCTCTTCTTATATTCTTATTGATACTGTTTCTTCCCACAACAATAGACAGATGGGTGGGTAATGCTACATGTGCTCTGGGCCTGGCACGTAGGCCACATTGCACCTTATCAATGAGCTGAGTGTCACAAACACAGGTAAAAAAGACAAACTGTTTTAGAGACCATGTGAGTGCTTTAACACTGGGCATGTAAGACAATACCCTTGTGGTCACCCTGATTGATCCTTCAAGAAACAAAAACCATGGCATCACACTTCACCCATATGTCCCCAATCCCAGGGCCCTGAGGCCATCAGTTTACACTACCAGTTTACGTAATTTTTCTTTTTTTAATCCTCACCAGAGGACATTTTTGCATCTATCCTCAGATAGAGCAGGAGGGAGAAAGGGGGAAAGAGAGAGAGAGAAACATCGATGTGACAGAGACACATCGACTGGCTCCACCCACATGACCCCACCTGGGGCCAGGGACAAACTGCAACCAAGGTACGTACCCTTAGCGGGAACTGAACCTGGGACTCTCCGGTCCAAGGGCCAATGCTCTAACCACTGAGCAAAACTGGCCAGGGATCAGCATGTAATTTTTTGAATCACACCTCTCTCACACAGCTACAATCCCAGAAGCACAATTTCAAAGGTAACACAAACTTCCCCTGACAGGGACAGTTGGTCCTCTGATCAGGTCCTTACCCATGATACTAATTTAACCACCTCCCTAATCTATCCCCCTGCTTTCCATTCTCCCTTCTCTATGGCAGTGGAGATTTTTGAGCCCCAGTGTCACTGATGTCCACTATCTCATCGAGGTCTTATTGATCACAGTATTAGCCCTTAACAAAAATAGGCAGATGGACACACATAAATGACATCTAAGCTCTGGACGTGGCATGAAGCACCACAATACCCCCTGCCTTAGCGATATTCTATATTATTTCTTCCTGACAACACCAGACATGGACTCGCCCTTCATTCACTCTTATGTCAAAGCCAGGGCCCTGTGTCAATGAATTCACACTTCCTCTCTAATGCATATATCGCTCGTCCTACCACACCTCTTTTCCAACGGCACTCCCACTCCCACAGCCTCCTCCTGTCCTGCACCACAGTCATTTCCTTGGCCTCTCTACTCATTACTCAGCATATGTGGTCCAGAGAACGCTTGGTAAATTCAAACAGGATCAATTGTCCAGACTCTGATTGTCCACACTCAGAGGCAGCCTTGAGTCCTGCTATGAAGGCCTTTCTCCTAGACTGTTCCTTGCTTCGTCTTCACATCAGATCTCAGATATCCACAGCCCTCCTGCACTGAGTTTGAACTTGATGTGTCCCTTCACCAGTCACACATTTTCTCTCTCCACCTTACCCTTGATTAAGGGCCAGGCCCAGTGGCCCTCTACCCTACGCCGAGTGAGTCTCAAAGATGAATACTTATACCCAAAAGCTGATCAGCCAGCCTGACTGCAAGACCCCAGGCCTTACCAAGGGTCACAGCAAAATCCTGGTGAGTCTTTACAATGCGAATATACATCAGCCCAAAAGTCATCTTGTTTGTATTACTCTTAGGCCTTAAATCCATTTCAATTCTACTTATGCCTTGAAGGTCCTGCCCATCTGCCATACCATAGTCTCTCTGCCACCCTGTGTTTTTTATCCTCACCTGAGGATATGATATATTTTTTAAATTTATTGACTTTTATTGAGAAAGAAAGAGGGAAAAGGGAGAAAGCAAGAGAGAGAGAGAGAGAGGGAGAGGAAGAAACACTGATGTGAGAAACAATAATTAGTAGAGTCTGGTTTGCTACCCAACAGGGGATCAAATCATAACCCAGGTATCTCATGACCAGGAATCGAACCCTAAACTTTTTGGTGTCTGGGAAGATTCTCCACCAAGCCCTGGCCGGTTTGGCTCAGTGGTTAGAGCATCAGCCTGTGGTCCAGAGAGACCCGGGTTCGGTTCCCGCTAAGGGCATGTACCTCGGTTGCAGTTTGTCCCTGGCCCTGGATGAGTCGTGCAGGTGGCAATCACTCGATGTGTCCCTTTCACGTCAATGTTTCTCTCTCTCTCTCTCCCTCTCATTCTGTCTGAACAAAAAATGGAAAAATGTCAAAAAATGTCCTTGGGTGAGGATAAAAAAAAAAAAAGATTCTCCACCAACTGAGCCATCTGGCCATTATTATCTGTAATCTTTGTTGTGACACCTACCTTCTGCAACCAGGGTCCCCAGCAGAAACTCAGTCATTAGGCCCACTATCTTTTTCCTAGGATACTACTCCCATTACTATTCTGACCAGGATTCCCCATACTAAAGCAATCTACAGCCAGGGCTGTGTTGCTCAGGTGGGTGAGCATTATCCCAGTGTCCAAGAGGTCACTGATTACGTGTCTAGTCAGGAAACACACACCTGGGTTACAGGCTCAATCACTGGCAGGGACATGCAGGGGGCAGCCATTCGATATTTCTCTCTCAACGATGTTTCTATATTAAGGTCCTTCTCCCTTCCCTTTCTCTATAAAATCAATTTTAAAAATAAAGTAATAAAATAAGTAAATAAATAAAGCAAAGTATAGTTTCTTCTTGGTCCACATATTCTCCACTACCTTTTGGAGAAGTCTCCATCCTGAAATTTTCGTAAGACAGTCAGATGCCCATGAACTTCTCTCTGAAATATCTTATACTCTTCGCAGGCCAAAAATAAAACTACTGATATCTCCAATGAATATTACTCTTACTACTTTGGATTATTCCGTCTCGATGGTACTTCCATACTGCCAGCTGCTAAAACCAAACCTTCATGTCATACCTGATTCTTTTTTTTTTCTTTATTGAATTTGTAGAGAGAAAGAGGAAAAGAGGGAGAGAGAAAGAGAAACATAGATGAGAGAGAACTTCGATTGGCTGCCTCCTGAATACCCCCCACTGGGGATCGGGTCCACAACCTGGTCATGTGCCCTAATCAGGAATTGAATCAGCGACCTCTTGGTACATGGGTCGACTCTCAACCACTGAGCCACACCGGCCAGGCATCCCTGATTCTTATCTCGATCTCTCTCAACCACAAAATAAGAAAATCCACATGTTCACTTAAAACATCCGTCTAAAATGCAACTACTTCTCCCACCTACTGGGCCACCATCCTTGTCCAGATACTATCACGCTCAGCAAGACTATTGCAGCAGCCTTCTGCCTGGTCCTTCTACCACCTCCCTCACACCCATTTAGTTCTCTACGCCACAGCCACAGAGATTCTAAAGAGATCTGATTAAATCACCTGCTTCCACTACTCCAAATTTCCCATTGTTTCCATCATCTGCAGATCACACACCCAAATTGTCCAACAGCTGTTCTAGTCCTTACTCCTGTCCCAGGATTCCCCGTTCATATATATATATATATATTCATATATATTATATGAAGGATACCAGCAGGTCTCTGAATCACCACAGCCTCCTTTCCAAGCCTTAGTACATTCTGCTACATATCCCAGTAAGGAACGTTCACATCTTATTCCACTGGTTGCCAAAAACAGGGACCATTCATATAACCCTGGATGTGAAATGAGGACCCTGGCCTGGGTGTGAGTTCAAGTTCCCCAGGCCTAAGGGCTGGAAGAGTGACACAACAGTCTGAACACTCCACTCTGTCAGAGGCCATGTGTGTGAGGCCCTCAAATGAGCACCAACAACCAGTACTCTGAGCGATTCTGTAGGTGCAGGAATCTGTGGAAAGAAAAAGGTCTGTTGAGAGCCTGGCAACCACCGCCAGGGTCCCCGGGCTCAGGCCACTCAGGGCCCTTGGGCAGCCCCGGGGCCAGGTGACCTCGAGATGCCGGCACTGCCTCAGGGCCTCGTCCGCAGTGCACACTCGTGCCAGAGACGTTGTCTTTTATGGGACCTCCTGTCCCTCCCTGCGCTCCTCTCCCTTCTAGTCTGTCCTTCCTCTGAGTAGCTTTGGGCAAACGGTAGAGTCCGACCTCAGACAGCGTCCCTCTTTTTTTTGCACAACCCTCCAACGACTTTCCACCGTCGCCCACGTCCTGAGAACGAAAGTGAAACTTCCCACGCACAACGTCGCGTCGCCTTCTCTGCTCCCTCCGGAGTAGACGGAGCACAGGGACCGGGTTTCTGAATCCTCCCGGCTCACTCGCTGCTCCACGTCTTGACCCAGCGGCTCCCCAGGCTGTCACCACGTCCCACTCTCGTCACACTGGGTGTTCCCCACGGGCCCCTCACTGTCTGGAATTCTGATGCCGGGGCTGCAGGACATGACGGGCGCCCGCACCCGGGCTGCGGGGCTCGGGGCGGGGAGGCCGGGAGACGCGCTCTCACCTCAGCCGGGCGCCTCAGCGCGGCCGCCGCCATCGACTCTGCGGGCGAGCGGAGGGTACGGAGGCCTCGATACCGCCCAGTTGCTTCTCGCCGAGCCTCGCACCAGCCTCTGCACAACGAGGGCGACTCCCAGTGGCGCTGTCGCCTCCCTCACCAGGCGCTCTGGAGCCCAGAGCCCAGACGCAGCCAGCCCACCAGAGAGAGGCTGCAGACTGACAGGAAGATGCCCGGAAGACCCGTCCTTGAGCCAATGCGCAGGACAGAAATGCCTTCCTGGTCTTTCATTGGCTAGACCCGCGAGCATTCGGTGCACTGCCACCTGGGTAATGTAGTTTTTTTCAATATAACAGCTGTTAATGTCCCAAATATATCCTAAGAGGCCTGAAACACTAATCAGAAAGAATATATGCACCCCTATGTTCATAGCAGCACTGTTTACAATTCCCCAAATCTGGAAACGGCCCAAGTGTCCATCAATAGATGAGTGGATAAAAAAGTTGTGGTAGAGATACACAATGGAATACTATGAAG